AAACATCGGTAGAATCATCCGACAAAAGACATTAGAAATGCTGAGAAATAAGAAAGAGAATCTCCTCCGAACTCCTTCAGGGTTCATGTTGATGGGCATTCTAGTCACACAATGGGGGGAATGTATCACAACTGGAGCAACCAATCAGCTTCTCTCTTCAGTTTGTTCAGTTGAGCTTGGAAAATTAAAGAGGGAAGCTGATTGGTTGCCGTGGACAACTGCTCCAGATTCTGTCTGCTCCAGTGTTGATCAATTCCCCCCATTGTGGTTTGTTTCAGTTTGAACGCATTTATTTGTATAGTGATGGAGAACGCAGCATTTGGTGAGTAAAGTCTGAGCGTTACCAGCTTCACCTGCATTTCAAACGCCCCTCATCAGGACATTCCGTGTCCAAAGACACAGAGCGCCAACGCCGAGCAGGTCAAAGTCTCTAGTCTGCCAACACAGGAAACCCATCAACATGAGCCCTCACCAAGGTAGTAATATGGCGGTGTGACCATGGCACCGCGAGGCCTTCTGGGTGGAGATGCTCATGTGTTTTTCCTGTAGGAATTGGATCCCTGGACAGCCCGATGAATATTATGGTCATGGACTCGGTGGAGGAGAGGACTGTGCCCACCTACACAGGAGCGGCCAATGGAATGATGACCACTGCTCCCGAGAGTACAACTACCTCTGTGAGATGGACATGATATGAAGAGTGGCTGGGGTGCTAGGGGACGTTGCCATAAAGATCCTCAGAGCGCTGCTTTTTCTGTTGCTGAACCCAGATATAGAGGATGGAAGTTGTAGCTTATCTCTATGTAGTCTTCCATGTTCAGTCACTTCACAAAAGCCATTTCTGTCCATAGCTCTCGGCTTTACATTTCTCCATTGAAAATCCCAGGTTCTTCCTCCAAGTTCTTTCCCTGTGTTCTGCCCCAGGTTCTTCCTCTGGGTTCTATCCCTGCTCTCTTCCATTGGGTTCTATCCTCCAAGTTCTGCCCCATGTTCTTTCCCCAGGTTCTTCCTCCAAGTTCTTTCTCTGCATTCTTCCCCCAGTTTCTTACCTCAGGTTCTCTCCCTGCGTTCTTTCTCTGTGTTCTGCCCCAAGGACCTTCTCCCCGGTTCTTCCCCAGGTTCTTCCCCTAGGTTCTTCCCTCAGGTTTTTTCTCCAGGTTCTTTCCCTGTGTTCTGCCCTCGGCTTCTTTCCTCAGGTTCTTTCTCCAGGTTCTTTCCCTGCGTTCTGCCCCAGGTTCTTTCCCCAGGTTCTCCCCCCAGGTTCTTTCTCTGCATTCTTCCCCAGGTTCTTCCTCCGGGTTCCTTCTCTGTGTTCTCCCCCCAGGTTCTTTCCCCAAGTTCTTCCTCTGGGTTCTTCCCCCAGGACCTTCTCCCATGTTCTTCCAACAGGTTCTTCCCCTGGGTTTTGTCCTTCAGGTTCTTCCCCCAGGTTCTTTCCTCAAGTTCTTCCTCCAAGATCTTTCTCTGCATTCTGCCCCCAGTTTCTTACCTCAGGTTCTCTCCCTGCGTTCTTTCTCTGTGCTCTGCCCCAGGTTCTACCCCCAGGTTCTTCCTCTGGGTTCTTCCCCCAGGACCTTCTCCCATGTTCTTCTCCTAGGTTTTTCTAGGTCCTTCCTCTGGGTTTTGTCCTTCAGGCTCTTTCCCTTTTTGCTAGAAAAAAACGGAATTGCAGTCCATGAGTGGTCCCAGTCTGTGATGTCCAAGTGATTTGGAGATCTGTCGCTGAGCAAATGACTCATTGCAGCATTTCAAGTAAGCAACGGAGCTGAGGAATCGAGTAGCTGCTCATATTGTCCGATGTGGCCTCTGATGATCATGAAGCACCAGAAATATGGAGCTCCATAGAGAAGCATTGTAGCCAATCACAGCAACAAATCCATTCAGCTGCTGCTGTGACATCAACCTTTTGGTTCTAGTCGGGGTTATAGTTGGGGTTACAATAGGGGTTACAATAGGGGTTATAGTCGGGGTTACAGTCGGGGTTACAGTTGGGGTACAGTTGGGGTTATAGTTGGGGTTACAGTCGGGGTTATAGTTGGGGTTATAGTTGGGGTTACAGTCGGGGTTATAGTCGGGGTTACAGTCGGGGTACAGTTGGGGTTACAGTCGGGGTTACAGTCGGGGTACAGTTGGGGTTATAGTTGGGGTTACAGTCAGGGTTAAAGTCGGGGTTATAGTCGGGGTTATAGTTGGGGTTATATGATGATCATGAAGCACCAGAAATATGGAGCTCCATAGAGAAGCATTGTAGCCAATCACAGCAACAAATCCATTCAGCTGCTGCTGTGACATCAACCTTTTGGTTCTAGTCGGTGTTATAGTTGGGGTTACAATAGGGGTTACAATAGGGGTTATAGTCGGGGTTACAGTCGGGGTTACAGTTGGGGTACAGTTGGGGTTATAGTTGGGGTTACAGTCGGGGTTATAGTTGGGGTTATAGTTGGGGTTACAGTCGGGGTTATAGTCGGGGTTACAGTCGGGGTACAGTTGGGGTTATAGTTGGGGTTACAGTCAGGGTTACAGTCG